AAAGGCGAATGGATACAATAGGGCAGTCACTTAGAAAGATCAAATAAGTAATGAGTAAAAGTATCAAAATACAACACAAAATAATTATTACTATCAATAAAAGACCCCAAACACAACAAGGAGTCTACAAATGCATAACATTCATGAAACAAAAAAGAACTATTTTCTATGCGTAATGGCACACCACCGCGAAGGTGAAGCTATTCGATCTGTTTGTTTCACGAGGCTCTTCCAACATTCTAAGAAAGAACATTTCAAATCTGCCAATAGAGGGCGGCAGCCACATAGAGTACTAACAAATTGCCGGTCCCGTTAGACTTAAAATACACCACGAATATTCACTTTTAAGATATAATTTTTGGTATGTGTTGGTTCTTGGATATTTCATCTTCGTCGTCCTGTACTTAGTTTAGTAATTCAAACTTTCCAGTTTGTGTAAAAAGGGAGAGTTTCGCGGTTTCGACATAGAAAATGCCCTTGCTTCATTATTTGCAGAGGGAAGGCCGCTTAGGTATGAGCTCTGTAACTTGTAGCACATGAACCTAAAAACGTTAGGTAATCAAACAAAAATGACGTTGTACTAAAGTCCAAAAAGTACGTTCAAGGTCTTCATTTTTTCGTAGCATAAAAACGATTTGTTCCCTCTCTAATTGTGACACTCTCAAATCAACTGATTTCCATTTCCCTCAAGAGTCAACAATGGTATATGCCCCCATTATACGCCAGGACTCGAAAAAGTCTTTTTTGTTTTACTGTTCATTTGCCTTCAATTACGTTTCAGTGGCTGTCACTGAGTCATGCAGATAACATTTTGGTTCAAATTCACATAGCTATCGCAGAGTAAATTCGGAAAATCTTTCAACTAAACCGGAATGCTTTTGGCCTTTGTAGTGTCATATTGAACTACAACATTCAAACATTAGACGGGGAAATTCACTGCATTAAATTGCGTTTGCCATGCTAGGCAATCAAAACATTTTTTTGCAATAAAGTATGTTCAAGATCTGCACTTTCTCATAGCATAAACACGGGGTTTACCCTTGCTTACTAAAATTAAAATATGATTGGGGTCTCAGTCACTGTAACTATTGCTGCGGTAAGTAGTCTTTCACTTCTTGGTTATATTAATTGTCGTCCCAAATTTTGCTTCCCTGGCGCCTCTAATCAGTCTAATAAATAAGCTATATTACCGCTGGGCTTAATCAATAATATATCACCCCAAGAACGGATGATTGGGCGATTGCAGCACATTAGTGATACAGTGACCCCTCGCTAAATCGCGGGTGTTTGGATCCAAGCGAAAAACGTGACATATCGGGGTTTGTGAGGGGCAGATCAATAATTTGAAAACGGATAAATAGCACATACACAAAAATGTGTTCGTAGTAAGTTTTCTTTATTGAAAAATATCATAGTTTCCATGCCCACATGAGTTCAACCCATTGTAGTGAATTTTATAGAGCTATATCAAAGGACCGGCCAAGAAGTATGTAAAGTCACGATTTGACGCCCCATCAACACCTTAGTTAGGCGGCTGTATCTCAGTAATAGACGGACAGTAAGTGTGAAGTTGTCTCCTCCAGCCCTTTTACGGTCAATTAAATACAAGATGCAACGAAACATTAGTTCTTTTACTTACTGGGATGTAACTTTCACTTACTTCTGTTACATCCCAGTTAACGTATTCCAATTTTATAGGTTACAAAATATTTGCAGACTATTGTCAAGTAATATGAAAGGATGCACTAAAACCTAGCTAAGATATATTACATCCCAGTTAACATATATGCATTTTTACTACCATAAAAATATTAAGTTACACAGGTAGGGAATATGTCTCATGGCATGGAAAAATAATGCTTTCTGTTGTCCAGATTATATGATAAATATTTTGAGTGTGTATGTATTAAAATATGCAATCATAGTACACATACAAAGTAAACAGAATTATGTGAATTTGCATTGGTGGTGGGAATTCCCATGCCAGTTTATAAAATCGTGAACAAATATTTTCGTAAATAACACTAATTCTCATTATTGTGTATCATTTATGCATATAATTACATATCTTGTATACTTTTTATCATTTTAATTCTACATGGTATTCCCAGATTAACACCGGTTGTTAATGGCACATACATTAGATTCTCAACTCCGATGAAAAGACAAGTTTCTGCCAAACATCGCGAAAGCCAATCATTGGGAAGCTACTAGTCATTTTTAAAAAATGATTCATCTTTTGCAGCAACAATCGGTGCAGAGGTTCACATGATGAACTTTTACACAACACGTGGATTAATTCGTTTCAATGTCTGGGACACTGCTGGGCAGGAAAAGTTTGGTGCACTTCGAGATGGTTATTATATTGGTGGTAAGTCTTGCACATTCTATGTTGTTTGGTGTTACCATAGGCAGCAACATAGCATTTGTAGTGTTTCCATAGTGACATACATGTTGTGCGCTGTTGTAATACTGTATTAATGTCCAGATTGTCATGGAAATGGTATGTTTATAGGACGTGTTGCCATGGATATTACATACTATGTTTAGTATTGTTGTCATGAATCATACTAAAGGTCACATACTGTGAATATGCTTCCATATGATCACATGCTTTGTTGAGTAGTGTTGTCATGGGTCACATGCTGTGTTGAATATTGTTGTCGTAGCTATGTCACACATGTTCAGTAATGGTGCCATAGGTAACACGTATGTTAAGTGGCAGTGTTTTTGTTGTCAATTTGTACAAAATGTCTCAATTTTGCTAAATTTTTGTCAAGGCCCCTCCCTTACTTTGATTAAGCATTTGGAAAATATCGCAGAAATTGAATGTGCCAGAAAATTTAAAAAAAAATTTAAAATAATAGTTCTCAAATATATCTTACATACATTCTTCTTTCAGCTCACTGTGCCATCATCATGTTCGATGTAACTTCTAGGGTAACGTACAAAAATGTGCCAAACTGGCATCGAGACTTGGCCCGTGTCTGTGAAAATATACCTATCGTCCTCTGTGGAAATAAAGTTGACGTAAAAGACCGCAAAGTCCATGCTAAGCATATTACGTTTCACAGAAAGAAAAACTTGCAGGTATAACTTTGTTGTTTTAAAATATATGGTAAAAGCATGTTCATTGTTGCCATGGTTACAAAGGAAAGGGATTATATTTGGTAATAACCCCTTGTGCATCTCTGAAGTAACATATACTGACAACATTTTTCACAATAAAAGACAAAACTTTTAAACATAAGGATATGCCAAAAACAGATTAAAATGTATGGTGCAGGCACTTCACCAAGCTTTTAATGTTTTGTTTTTTTATTTGCAGTATTATGACATCAGTGCCAAAAGTAACTACAACTATGAAAAGCCATTTGTCTGGTGTTTAAAAAAACTGGCTGGTGATTCGCATCTAGAGTTGCTTAGTCAGCCTGCTATTACACCTCCCGAAGTTGTTATTGATGAGGCACGACTCCGGCAGTTCGAAAGAGAATCTCAGGTACATGAACATTTTTAGTTGTGGGAAGACGAGGTCGCAATGAGGGCTTGGACATTTCGAGAAACAAATAAAAAAACTCCTACCATAATATATTGTTAGGGATGACCATTAGCAATCATTGATTGAGTTTGAACTCCATTATTTTTTTCAGGATGGCATTGCTGCAAATTGTTTTTAACTTTTCTCTGACAATATATATATTGTTTTTTCTTGAATTTGTCATGGTAGAATTTTGTTTTTCCAATCTACTGATTTCTAATACCCCGATTTAACAAATCATGAAACTGACAAAACGTGCAATTGAAAACGAAACTGAAAATAGTCAGCCATTTTGAATTAGAACTTGACATGATATATAATGTAGGTAATTTCAATCAGTCAAGATAGAAGATATGGCTCTAGAACAGCAATTGTTCAACAAAAAATGACCATGAGTCATCCATTGACAGCCTTCCTGAATTAAATTGTGAAACAGATAGTACCAGTATGAAGTGCACAAGAACTTGTCTACAAAGATGGCCACTTTGTTTGGTACAATTGTCTTGGTTACCTGACATCAGTGAACACACTCATTTTGTAGCAAATAAAAAGTTGTCATACACTTCCCGTTTTGATCCATTTTCTTCCTGATCAGATCCATTTTCTTCCTGACCCGAACCATTTTCCTCCTGAGCCAATCCATTATTTCCAGACCCCTATCATTTTCTTCTTTATCTGATCTATTTTCTGACCCTTTTTCTTTCTGACCTGATCCATTTGCTCCTTGATCTGATCCATCATTTTTTGTTTCACTTCCAGGAAGCTGCACTGTTAGAACTACCTCCAGACGACGACGACTACTATTAACAAATTTATGTACCTGTTGGTTTGCTAGAAGTTCTCATATTGAAGTAATTTGTAACCCATACAAGAAGATAGAGACATTAAATAAATGAAATGAAATTTTGTGCCAAAAGCTGGTGGTACGGATTCAGCAGAATCTTTAAATTTATGTCAAACCCATCGTCTCTCGAGACAGAAGGATGCCTACCTAATACAAGTATTTATATTTATGTGCAAACTCCTGCAATATTAAAAGTCGCGGCAAAACTATTAAAAAAACGGACCTGACTATCATTCATTATCTTCTGGTCATAATGTACCTTGGCGTGTGGTTCAGTGCTTTAATAGTTTTTGCATCAGAGTTAGAGATTGTATGTTTCGATTGATTGAGAGCAGAGACATTGAAAACTTCCATTAAGTATTCATATGGTTCTTGAAATACCGGTATTGTTTGAACAGATACCCACAGAGTACAACTCATATATACTCATTTATAGATGTTTTATTTAAATATTTTATTGGTTTTTTTTGGTCATACACTATTGACTAAATTTTGTAAATAAGAAGTCGAATGTAAATTTAGAACTTTCCGGTTCTTCTTCTTCCTGTGAACTTGGAATCTGGTCTAACATCCCTGCAAAAAATAAACATGTATTTTATGTTAAAATCACAAATTTTGGTCAACAAATTTGCTTTCTTTCAATTGGTTTAAATTCAAAAAAAAAAAAGATTTTGTTGATCTTGTGACAAAGATTTATCTTCATCACAAACTATCTAATGACTAGTTTTTCATGGGAATGGGATTTCTTTGATTGCAATAATAATATGCATTTAAAGAGTGACCTCTTTTGTTCACCCCTAGATCTAATTTTTGTGAAAGACTGAAATGTATTTGTTGCCCCATACTTCATTTCATTTCTGTTTTTTTTCATTTCTGACAAAATTTCATTCAATTATTTTTGATGGGCAACATTTTTCACCAGCGAGTTGCGGAAATGAATATGCATATTTCTATTGAACTGATACTTTTTCTCCAAATTTGAAGATATCTTTCAGATATATTGAAAGGTATTGGACTCAAACATGTATGGATTTGATGCCAATATTGCAGAATGCAAATATTACAATTTTTCAAATGTCTTCTCATGATATGATTTTCAACACAATTATGTTATATCCACAAACTTTGTAAAAAATGAAATTAAAAAAAAATTTTCTCCTCACCTTCCTTGTCTACGCCTCCTTTCTTTTTTCTCTAAAATCCAGTCTCTAGATTTTTTGACCGATTTTCTTTCTCGTTTCCTTTTTCCATTTCCCCTGGATTCACTGTATGATACTTGACTTGGAAACATTTTTGTATCTGTACCTAAACCCTGTGTAAATAATAATTAAACATTTAAAACTGTGATGGTCAAATGTGATGGGCTTTTTATATCATTATATATTCAATTTTACACATTAGTTGTCTACACGAACAGCATGCAGCACTATCTCTTCTGATGTGAAATGCAATTTTACCAAAACATGCAAGTGTTTTTATTTATTTATTCTTGCCAACAATACTGTACTTATAATCTGATATAATGTATACTATAAGACATGGTAAAGCTGTTAGTTCACTGTCTTATCCGCAACACAGAATTTTTGCTAATTTTCTACTTTTTTTGTTTTTATTTTGTGCACAACTTTTGCGAATTAAAATTCCTGTTTTTAGACAGACATATCACCCCCTTATATCATTATCATTTTGGGCGATAAAAAGCATTTTACCTTTGGCAGCGTTTGTTGAGTTGTTGACCCACCAGCAAACAAACATAAAAACATCCTATAGACAGACAATGGAGATACTGTTATTTTTGTGGTTGTTTTTTTTTTTTCAATCTGTAAAAATGACCAATTGTGTATGTTTTTGTACAATTCAAATAATAATGGATACACATTTAACTTACTTTTTAGCTTTTGTACTATTAGGGTAATCCACCACCAGTCCCCCACCAAATCCTGCTTTCATTGCCTGTGTTGTAATCATTTCTATCTGACTTGAATTCTCAGGATAAAACTGAAAGACTGCCCTGCTGCCCCTTTTCTGAAAGTAAATACAGAACACAATGGAATGAACTAGTTTTCAACAGCATTTATTGGAAGACCACAAAAAACACACCGTACATACCTAAACCTTCTATCTATGTGGTCATTGGTTATTCACACATGACTTTTTTTTTCTTTGCTTTTTTAAATATTTTTTGTGCTAGGTGACATTTCCAGATATTTAAGCCACTACTGTGTTTTTGTTTTTGGTGATTATTACAAGTGTATGTGCGAAGCAGACTCGTAAACCTAATAGTGCATGTATGGAAGACAGGTACTTTTATAATGTTTATGCGGAGAATCAATTACCCACAACCTTCCTAAAAAGGGCATGTTAACCACTGTACAAGCTTTTGCGTAACTTTCACATGTGTATAACTTGAACAGCACCCACCATTAAAGAAATGGTTGCATGGGACTCATGATTGACAGACCAAAGTTCAGAATCTAACATGGATTGAAAAGCAAAAAGGATTGACCCCTATTTTGAGTGAGTGTACCACGAACTGAAACTGAATGAGGGCAACTTTGGGGGAATAGTTACAAAATAGTTACACAGCCCTGTCGCTTAGGCTCAAATACAAAATATGGTTTCTGTGGCAAAGTGAGAAATAACATTTATAAAAATATATATATATATATATAACATATTTAAAAAAAAAAGACTTACCAAAGAGCTATAAAGCGTGCTAAAGAATCTATACAACCTTTTGGGAGGACTGTGGGACTTTTTATCTGCATTGCAAAGCCACTGTAAAGCAGAAATACTGAAAAAAAAATGTAGCATACAGTTATTATCTTACATTAGCTTCACATAAAAATGAGAAATTAGCAATGTCAACATGATACTCAGTTTAATGATCCTCAACAGATGAAAGAATAATTTTACCTCATAGCACCATCAAACGTGCCTGGTCTGAAAAACATTCCTTGTCCCATATCAGACAAAAACACATCACCTTCAACTTCTCTTTCTAATGCAATATCTGAAAAACATCAAAAGTATTTATGCAATCAAAAATTTTGCAGTAGATGAAACTTCATTATCAGATGAAATGTCTAAAAACTCTATCACTTTTAACATCAGAAAATTTGTCTCCCTCTATCAGTCAATTGTAATAGCCTCCATTCTCTCAAAACGCTGCTAAATTTAGCATTTTGATTCAGATTGCAATTTCGTCAAGTTCGGATTCGAGACAACAGATTCATATTCAGTGAAGAAAATATCTACTAGTAGTTTATTTTACAAATATATTTTGATGCATATTTTCATATTATGTTATGTTATGAGTCTCACAACGTTCTCAGAATACCAGGAATTCCACTCACCAAGCATGTGACTACTTATATCTATACCCATCCATATATGACCTTGTTCAGTTAAACTTTCCCCACTAAGACCTGAACCACAACTGTAACAGAAACAACAACAATCGTTACAAAAATAAATGTTAAACATGTTGTGTTAATATGTTTCAGTAATCTAATTCAGTAAACGTAATTCAATTTCTTCATGCCTTCACTTTCATGCAAATTCAATACACTCCAGTAAACGGTGTATATCGACTGAGATACATGTACCATAAATAAAATTATAATACCTAACCCCAATGTTGGTGGCCATTTGATATTACTGTAGAATACTTTATTTTTGCTTGCAATTTATTTTTCGCTATTTTCGCTGAAGGGATGATTTCGTGAAAATAAAATCCAGCGAATATACTTTTTTTTCTATATTTCACATTAAACTCATCAAAAATCAGTGAAAATAAATTCCATACAAAACGCCCAAAAAGCCTTTCCAGCAAAAATAAAGTATTTCACAGTATTTGTTGGACTTTAATACATAATTTCAGCAATAACGGTATGTGATGATAAAAGATTACTAAAAAGAGAACTATGGAAACAGATCAAATGAGAACAGCGTGCACAGATGATCCTAACTGCAACGTACACAACGCATGTAAAATACATTGTTTGTTTACATGAAATTCGAACATGCGACCACCACTCTTTAATCCTTTAGATTATCATATAAAACAAACGCTATATACCGTAATACTTTCTAGTGGTCATATTATTAGTTTTCATTGCAATGTAATAACAATTAGTATTATACATCTGTCACCGTAACGCCATAAGTTACAGCATGCCGTAATTTTGCGATATTTTCATTCTACCATATAAGGAAATGCGAATTGCAAATATGGAATTATTACGTGCATAAGCGTCCTCTAATAATAAAAACAAACATGGCTGCCACCAGGGTTTGACCTGACTCCACACAAAGAAGTTTGTTGATTCTGTTTAAAGTGTTTTGAATTTCGATCGGCATTCCCATGAT